GCCATGGCAACGGGCTTGGGCTCCCAAGCCCGCATGGGAGACAGTGGAGGGGTCCTGTGAATGGGGAGGGTGGGAGGCTGAAGAATCTTGTTTGGGTGAATGAGGGGGGATCTTTTCAGGACACTTGATGTGGGGTCCTTGTGTTCTGCTCTGTATAATTAGGCTCCATCCGGGTGTGCAGAATCAACCATGGCCTTATCTTGAGCGGGGCCCAGCTGCAGGCAGCCTTATAATGGGGCGCTGTCTGTGCGGGGAGGCCTGGCCCTCAGTGTGTGGGCTCCTCTTGTGGATGGGAGGCTTCCCACTGATCACTGGCCCTCAAGACTCATCCTGGGAGGGTTAAGACTGGGGACGTTTGCAGGTGAGCAGTGGCTGCTCCTGAGACTGCTCTTTCCAAAAATGATACACCCAGTAACACAGGGAACCAAATCACCATTTTTAATTTCAAAAGACTTTTAAATATTTTAGTTAAAACGTGAAATATGTATGTAGCTATCCATGTAAAGTAGCTACCACATGTACTGTCTTAAGCTTGTTGGTGGCGCAGACGTGTGCAGTCAGGATAACTGCTCCTTCACTGACCAGGGCCTGAGGCTTAGCGAAGTGCAGTAACTTGCCAGCTGCAAACCTCTGGGAAGTGGTAGAGCCAGGATTTGAACCCAGCATGTGTGACTCCAAAACTTCTGCTTTGTGTGTGTTTTGTGCTTTTCTGTTTTTCTGTTGCACCTTGATGCTAGAATTCTTAGGTTCCATCTTCAGTCTACCTGGAAAAATATTCTGCAGGTGGCCTTCGGATCTGGTGCAGGGGTCAGGCCTGTCAAAAACACATGCCCATCTGGGGCTCCCTTACGAGAGCTGGGCTCCTTAATTGTGCCCTGCCTGGGGGTGGGTGGATGTGCAGGTGTGGGGCCCAGGCTCGTCCCCTCCTGCTGTGCCCTGGGAATGGGGACTGGAAGAGGTGGTTCACACTGGTTCGAAAGAAGGGTGCCCGACTGGCTGCCCTGAGCAGGGCATTTCTGTGGTTGGGGTGATTGCAAAAATTATTCCATATGGGTTGAATGTTGTTCTAGTGATAAAAGGAGTCATCAGTAAATGCTGTGTCTGTGACAGAGACATAAACAGGCACTGCGTGTGATGTGGACAGGGCTGGCCACAGTGGGTGTCTGAGAGAGTGGCTTAACCCAGGTCTGCTGTGGCAGGTGGTCCTGCAGCAGGGCTGGGGCACAGGGTGTCTGGGTAAAAGTGGGATGAGGAAAGCCCATTGGGCTTCAAGGATCTGGGCACTGAAAGGGGTAAAGCCTTAGTTGCAGAGCTTCAGGCTGCAGCCACATCTGTGGCCCGTGGACAGGTAGAGAGAGCCAGGGGTCCCTGGCCGAGAGAGAAGCTCCCAGTCTCGGTTTAGCTGTGCTGTCATGGGGAGATGATGCCCACCCTCCCTTCCTCTGTTTCACTATCTTTTGGTCACTCAGGGGTCAGCAGACTCATCTGGAGTTGCTGCCCTGTGTGGCAAGCACAGCTAGGAGCCATGAGCAGCTTAGCAAGTGGCTACTGGGCACTCACCTGAGCCTCTTGCCCCTCACACCCACTGGGAAGACAGAGACAGGGGAAGCAGCAAGCAGTGTCACGCAGCGGGGAGCCCAGGCCCAGCTGTGGTTATGGACCCCGAGTTGGCTGCCCGCCATCCAGAATCTGCCTACCACACCTTGCCTGAGAGTCCTCCTCAGCGGGCTCCCTGCCCTGCCCATAAGGGGCCAACCCTGGGGTCGGGCGAGGGTGGAGAAGCTCCTTATGGATTGGGAGCCTGGAAGTGGGGGCAGATGCATCTGGACCAGGTGGGGGCAGGAGGGATGTGCTGGGGCCTTCGGACGTCTTTGCCTGGGGACCCGGAGTCTAAGTTCCTGCCACCTGTGTGGCCCAGGGAACCAGAAACCACGCTGACTTCCCTCAGCAGAGACCACAGCTGCTGCCCACGCAGGGAGCAGCGTTGGAAACCACTGAGGTCTTCACAGAGCAGCCTGTGGCGGCTTTTCCTGGGTGTGGTGCCACGTCTGGCTTGGCTGTGCCAGTCTTTGAAGACAGAACGAGCCTGTGATGGCTCTATGGCAGACCCCGGAGAAAGGGCTGTGCGACCAGCAGACCTGCCCTCCTGGGCCGCTCTGCTGGGCATGGCGGGTATAAGGCTAACAGTGACTATATGACCACTCATGCGTGTTAAAAGACATTTGAAAAATAAAACTAATTTTTAGCAAAAGTCAGTGAAATGTCTGCTCTATCACACACAATGTCCTGGGCTCAGGAAACGTGGGGGAGCACTGCGTGGTGCTATGCCATGGTGGCACAGTGAGCAGCACCCTCTGCCGTGTCTCTTCAGTCCCTCTCCTGTGCCCGCCTGATGGCAGGACTGGCTGGTGTGCTCCATGGGTCCCTGGCTGAGCCCCTTGAGGCTCACATGAATTTGTTAAGATGTGGGCACTTCGAGGATCTCTTCTGCTGGGAGGTGGCCCTGCTGTCTGACAGGAAGGGGAGGAGTGGGCAATTTGCCCAATACCCACCTGCTTCCCATAGACACCTGTGCCGGCCCTGCCACAACCGTGAGAAGGCCAAGGGCTTGGGCAAGTACATCTGTCAGCGGTGCCACCTGGTCATTGAGGAGCAGCCTCTCATGTTTAGGAGTGACACGTACCACCCAGACCACTTCAGCTGCACCCACTGCAGGTACTGGGGCTGGGCTGGTGGAGAGCAGGGTGATACCCCACCCTCAGCAGTGATGGGGCAGGAGAGGGGTGCTGGAGAAGGTAAAGGGGCCTGGGATGCAACCCTGCAGGAAGCCCTTCTCCAGGGCTCTGTTCAGGGAGGACAGAGCATATGGCCCAGAATGGCAGGGGGTGAGGGAGGGCTGGGCCCCTGGATGGAGCTGACAGGAAGGAATCAGAGGCAGGGAGGGTGGGCGAGGGTGAGGAGGAGGTTTGCTGCTGGTGGTGTAGAGTGGAGGAGAGAGGGAAGAGAGGCTGCAGAGCCATTCCCTCCTGCCTGCCCCAGCTCCCCAGTCTGGTATGGAGGGGCCTAGAGAACAGACATGCTTCTCAGAGGACTTAACAGGACTGTCGCAGGCTGCCTCCTGCAAGTACTGTGCAGGAATCCTGCCCGGGGCCTGTCTGGGGTACAGGAAGCCCTCAAAGAGACCAGAGATCAAAGAGCCATCTCCCAGGGTGCTCTGCTGGAACAGAGGGGGGCTCTGCTCCCTCGGGAGGCTGCTCCCTGGGGCTGGAGGGGTGCTGTGGCCCCTGTCAGTGGGCCCTGAAGAAGGGCAGGGGTGTCCTCTGGGGGCTCCACATTGTCTTTTAGGAAGGAGCTGACTGCTGAGGCCCGAGAGCTGAAGGGGGAACTCTACTGCCTGCCATGCCATGACAAGATGGGTGTGCCCATCTGTGGAGCCTGCCGCCGGCCCATCGAGGGCCGTGTGGTCAATGCCCTGGGCAAGCAGTGGCACGTGGAGGTGAGCATGGTGCCCTAAGAGGAAGGGGTCCCTGGCTTGCGGTCACAGTGGGATTCTGGCCTGGCATCCCCTCCACACTCCCATCCCGGCTACGTGGCTGGCTCCCAGCAGGCACCTTTCTCTTGGGTGCTTTCCCTCCTCGCCCCTGATCTGGCACCAGCTCATCTGTATTAACTAGGAGACACTCCCCTTCCTCCCCTGGCTGGCCTTCTAGAGGATTCCAGAGTCATGAGAAAATCGTAGGGGCTGTGGGATTGTGGTTGACAGAACTGGCTGTGTCTGCAACCCATGGAGACCCAGAAGCTGGGTCGACCTGTTGGTGAGCGCCTCTGGTACATCACCCGGGTTACCCTGAGCACTGCCCTGCACTGTGCACTCTGATGGGGGGACACTGCCTGGACACAGGCCCTGGCCGGCTCTTGTCCCAGGAGCTCTGCCTTGAGTGGCATCTTCAGAATGCACACCTGGCCCCCAGCACTCGGGGCGGCTGAATAATTGTCACTGTACTGGAAGATGCTGCTCAGTGACCCCGGGGCCTCTAGGGGAGCGTCCATGGGACACAGACACATGCCGCCTTCCAAGAAGGCACCAGGCAAACAACAGAGCAGCTCACCCGGGACGGCCGCTACACAGCAGGCACCTCACCAGCACCTGAGTCGGGTCACGGTGTTCGGGGTGGAGCACGCCCAGAGGAGACGGGGATGTGCAGGGTCACCCACTGGGTGTTTGGGAAGGTGGGTCTCCTGACCCGGGGGCAGTCCCTGTGAGCCCAGCAAGGCACGCCGCCCGCTGGCCTTTGCTTCCTGTCCCGGGGTCACTGCTCCGGCCTAAGCTGCCCACCCACGCCCTCTCCTCCCAGCATTTCGTCTGTGCCAAGTGTGAGAAGCCGTTCCTGGGGCACAGGCACTATGAGAAGAAGGGCCTGGCCTACTGCGAGACCCACTACAGCCAGGTGAGGCGGGGCGGGGCAGGCTGGCAGGGTCCGCAGGGATGCAGATTTGAAAGGGAGGCCATGTGCCTTGTTGGGGGCTGAGGGGCCACGGGGAGGCCACAGGAAGAGTGCTGGGAAGTCTGCTGTGTGAGCAGCGGGAAGTCAGAGCAGGAGAGCATGTGGGGCAGCCCTTCAGGCACCCGTTGTGGTGCTGAGGCTCCCAGTGCAGGGTCTAGACCTGGGCAGCCCTCTCTGCCTCATGTCCTCATTTGAGAAGTGAGCTCCATGGCCCAGGCCTCTTGTAGGGACCGAACAAGAAGACAGTGTGGCGCTCGGGGTTCACGGGACTGATGTAGGCCATCACCCTGCTCCTGCCGTGCCTGGCAAGGCCCCCACCTGCTCTGAGGTGGAAGACGGGTTACTGCCTTGGCCACACCCCTCAGGATACCAGGAGGAGCAAAGGGGCATTTTGGGGAACAGTGCCTCAACCTGTCCTTCCCAGGGAGCAACTCTGATGGGCCGGGGTGCCTCACCTCATGTCTAAGGCTGTACCCTGGCAGAAGGGCCCAGAAGGCCCAGGTGGATCCTGAGGCCCAGGTGGGCGGGGGGCCATACTCCCTTGGCCCTGGGCCGCGACACCACTGCCTGTGCAACTGCTTGTCCACAGCTCTTTGGGGACGTCTGCTACAACTGCAGCCATGTGATCGAGGGCGACGGTAAGGCACTTCTGTCCTTGGGTCCCCCCCTTCCCCCGCCCCTCTTCCCTGCTGTCCCTCTGGGCTGTGGGTCTGCAGCTGTGGGCCCAGCTGGCCCTCACTTTGCGTAGCTGGGCCTGCGGGAGGAGCTAAGGGGGGCCTGTGGGAGGCGTGCTAAGCCCTACTCCTCTGCCCTCACAGTAGTGTCAGCCCTCAACAAGGCCTGGTGTGTGAACTGCTTCTCCTGCTCCACCTGCAACAGCAAGCTCACCCTGAAGTAAGTCCTGCCAGCCTCCCAGGGGCGCCTGCGGTGGGCGGAGAGGGGCCTACACAGTGTCTCCTCCTGGTGGAGTATGGGCTCTATGGACCCTGACTTTCATCAGGCCTCCCTGGACACCTGCTGTTGTCAGGCCCTGGGGCGCAGTGGGGGCAAGGGGCAGCTCCAGCCCCATGGAAGCAGGTCCAGGGACCCTCCAGGGCACAGTGAGAGGAGTAACACCCACCCACAAGGACATTGGGTTCTGGGGAGGGAAGGGTGTCCTAGCCCAGGAAACAGCAAATTCAGAGGCAAAGGAGTCAGGCCACTGGTTCACCCAGGAAGCCATGGG